CCCCTGGGGGGTGATTTCTCGCTTTCTGTCTCTCTGTCTCTCTCTCTGTCTTTCTGGCGAATGCACATACCCTGTAGCAAAAACCTCTCCAAAAAAAAAAAAAACTTAGATAATCCCCTTGCATTGGCACTAACAGCTGGTTACTGTGCAGCTGATTGGCACTGCTGTAGGCCAGGCAGAGGGAGGGGAGGAAGAACCAGGAGAGGCAGACACAAACTGACCAGGACAAACAAATGTCACTGTCCCAACCACAACACCGTTCACACTCGAAAATCATGTCAAGAGCTCAAAAATGAACCTGTAGTGTTCACTAGCAATTTTATTGGTTGGAAAGATTCCATATCGGTTTTCTCTGCATAGGAGTCAAAATTTTTCCTAGTGAGCCATCACCTAAAAAAATAATTATTGCTGATAAGGCCATGGCTCTTGGAAAGGGTATTCCCTGCCTGGCTGCCCAGCCAATGCTGGGCACATGCGTAACACACACACACACACACACACACACACACACACACACGTAAGCATGTTAGCAGCCGGGATTCCAGGCCCACCCCCAGGGATGGTGATTAGCAGGGATGCGGGAGGCCTGTCTGACACCTCTCCTAGGTGGCCCTGAGGCAGGACACCATCCGCAATGCAAATGCCAGGCCAGTCTGAAAATCCTGCTGACTCAGAGTGACTGGGTGAGGGAAGTTTCCCAAATCTGTTTTGGCAAATTGGCCGTAGTTTCCCGTATTCCCAACATCATCCAAGATGACAGAGTTACCGAGAGGCGGTACTGAGCCGAGGGGTTCTCCTGAGTGTCTCTGTGTCCTTGAGGAATTTGCCCCTGAGCTTATAAAGGAAAAAAAAAAGAGGGGTCTCACAACAGTGTCCTTTTCCAGAAATTCTTCTTCAGCCTCTCAGTGGAACTGAGAGATTAAAATATATTCCAAAGAATCAGTGCTGCTGTTCTGGAACACTGTCAGGACGCTGTGCACACGGGCGCGGTCCCCAGCACATTTCTCACTTGGGCCACATGTGCTCTTGGGGGAGGATACTAGGCAAGAGATGGTGATTGGAACCAGCAGTTTGCGTAATGGCTATGTCGCTGGACTCCCACGTAGTCGACCGCAGTTCACATCCTGGACCCGGTGGCTTAAAACTCATGCCGGGCGCGTGTGTGTGCGAGCCCAAGATCCCGAGAGGAGAATGGAGGAGAAGGGATTGTGGTGTGGCCATCCCCCCTGGGGGGGGGGTGATTTCTCGCTTTCTATCTCTCTGTCTCTCTCTCTGTCTGGTGACACACGCGCCCTATAGCAAAAACCTCTTAAAAAAAAAAAAAAAGAAAGAAAGAAATGGTGACTAACTGTCACCTGTAGGCAGCTGAAACTGTCCTTTCCTCCAGGCATATAAATTGCTGCCTGGTGAAATGAAATATTCAGAGAAGATGGCATTTTTAAAATATCTGCCAGTGTCTGTTTAGACAGTACAACCAGAGAAATGAATCTAGCCTATCGCAACATTTTCGAGAATGTGGAAACAAATCTTCTGTGAACTAAAACTTAGGCACCTTCTCGCTCGTTGAGACTCTGTCTTTTATTGTACTCTAGCTTCATATTAGTGGCCAGTTAAAGAATACCATGATTGGGACCAGCAGACAGCATAATGGCTATGTCACTTGACTCCCATGTAGTCGACTGCAGTTTGAGTCCCCGACCTGGTGGCTTACACTCTCGCCGGGCGCGTGTGCGTGTGTGCCCAAGATCCCGAGAGGAGAATGGAGGAGAAGGGATTGCGGTGTGGCCATTCCCCCTGGGGGGTGATTTCTCGCTTTCTGTCTCTCTGTCTCTCTCTGTCTTTCTGGCAAGTGCACACACCATATAGCAAAAATTTCTCCAAATAAAAGAATACCATGATAATATTCGCTATGCTTCTGGAGATAATTAACATTCCCAAAATGCAAGCAGGTCGTAGCATGGGTCTGGGAAGGGCTCTCTAGTCTGCACCAAGCACAGTGCATAACCTGACCTTATGAATCAGTTTCCCTTTCATTTCAGCAGCCCATGTCGCTGAGAAGGATTACTCTCTCACTCACGCAGTTGTTCCGCTTGGACATAAGGAGAATGTTTGTGTGGGATGAGTTGGGTCTGAGGAAGGACATCATTATAGCCTGGTCTGGATTTGCCATGCAGCTTTTCTTAGCGTCTGTTAACGTTTAAGCAGCCTGTCCCACCATCTTTTGCAAAAACCAGCTGTCTTTCTCTCTCTTTTTTTTACTGTTGTGTATATTCCCACAGAATTCATTAGGATGCACTGTACTTCCAACCCTGACTGGTGGATGCCTTCGGAAGAACAGATAAACAAAGTGTTCAGCGACGCGGTGGGTCACGCCCGGCAGGGGCGGGCTGTGGGGACTTTCCTTCACAACGGTGGCTCCTTTTATGAAGGGATCGATCATCAGGCTTCGCAGGATGAAGTCTTCAATAAAAGTTCCCAGGATGGATCTGGGGATTAGTGGACAAAATCTTTGCACTGTAGCAGCCAGTCCTCTCTGAAGTTCCAATTGTGAATGTCCTGTTGTCGTCACCTGAGCGTCCAAAGCATGTCATTTTGTCATACTTGACACATTCTCAACCTTAAAACTCTCCTGACCTATGGCCACAGTTCCCAAATAGAAATCCATTTTAGGGTTGTCTGGGAAGTCTATGGCACCTACAACAGACTTCTGGAATATTATATTAGAAAAAGAAGAAACTAAACTTGATTTTAAATGGTAACATTCTGAATGGTAGGTACGCTTCTAGTCACTGGTTCCACATTTTCAAGTAAGCTCTGACACTTGAGCAGAGCTGGACCCCAAACAAGGCTGAATTAGAGTTCCTGCCCATGAGAGAAGGTAGAGACAGGAGTTATTTTAAGGGACAAGGAATAAGCATTCTATTATTTTCATTCAAATAAGTTGTCTTTATGTTTTCAAAAAAGACTTGACTTTTGAAAAAGTCTCGTGAAAGTCAAAAGACTCAGTGAAAGTCGTAAGATAGGAAACTTTGAATGTTTCTTCATTACGAAGTCTATGATTAAAAAGAAGCCAGAGAACAGAGGCCACGTCTACACTCAGTAACTAGTTGGAAGTCAGCTCTTTTTTTTTTTCAATTATTTTCCCTAAATAAATAAATCCCACTGTGTTGGTCATGAAGGCACTCTGTGATCGCTGGAGTTTACAGACAATAGTGGTTTTTTTTTTCATTACGTCAGTCGAGAAATACCCAAAGATCCAAAACCATTTTTAAAGGCTCCATTTTGCAGGTTCATTGATCCACAGCTTCCACAGCCTTAGGCTTTGTTGACACCACGCCAATGTGATGGGGGTTGAACAAAGAATTTCAGTTAGTTGTTGGATGCACTGGAGACCAAGCGGGTGGTGTGACCAGTGGTATTGGCTGAATCAATGAGATGTTCTGGCATTGTGTACACACAACTTCAAGGCCATTCTGACTCTGCAGTGGGCTTGTCAGTAATCTTTGTGCAGTTCCAGGGTCTTTCCTGCTGAGTTGATCTTTAGAATTTGCGTGAAACTTCTGTTCCTTGTTGTCATTGATGTAAATATCTCATCCCAACTGTGTGTGCCTCTTATTCCCCGGTACTCCCCTGAACTACAAGCTCTGGCTAAGTTAACACTGTACCATCCCACTCAGTTTTCCCTGTTACATTTGTTGAGCTCCCGGTGTGAAATGAGTGCTGTCTTTGTGGAACCTTTCTTTGTTGGGGAAATGCTATTGAGGTGCTAGAATCCAAAGGCCTCCTTTACCAGACTAGTCCAGATTCCTGCATTTTTTGTGGATCAAAGGGCTAAATGGACAGCATTATCGAAGACTCTTAATATCATCTACAGACATGACTGTCTTGATAATTGGATGGAAATTCATTTCAGTTTATGAGGATCCATTTAAAAGAGTTTTCTTGTGTGTGCCACTTTTTGGTCAACGTAAAATCCTAAATTATTCTTTACATTCACTAGCTAATTAGTATCCATTACATGCAAATTCCAAAAGCAAATCCTGTAGCTTTCATTATGATTACTCTCTCTCACTCATTAAACAGTTTAATGTTTATGGAAATCATTTATCGGATCTGTTAAATAGTATAAGGAGAACTAATATTTTGATCCTATTTGGGGCAAGTTAGCTAAAATTTGGAAGTAAAAGAAATGATACAGATAAATGTGGTTACTTAGGGCAACCAGGAGACTAATATCTTTTATTATCCAAGGAAAAAAGATATTTCTTGAAGTTTTTAGAAGTAGAAAGTCAATGTCTTTTAAGTCTTTGAGGACATGAAATCTTTGCCAAAAGAAAAATACCACCATAGCTTCATCTGTCTTTCCATCTTTGTCTTTCTTCGCATTGGGCTTGAGTTACACTTACTATTGAGTATATGGTCCTTTATTAAAATATAATTTTATTTTAAAAATTATAACATTCAATCACTGTATATCTTTACAGCACAGAAAATTAATTTTCCCTGCATAAATACACTGTATGTTAGTCCAAAGATATTACTATACACATTGTCATCAACAATAGTTTTCCATTTTTGTGTCTGTTGAATGTTTTGCTTCCTTTTTTTTTTCCCCTCCATCTCTTTCTCCCACCCTCCCACTTCCAATTTCCCATCCTCCTCCCATACTACCTCTGGTATACATAGTCGCCTTCCATGCTTTCAGTCTCTGTGGAAGAGTGCACACATTCGATAGATAATAAGTGGGGATATACAATGCCTCTCTTTCATAGTCTGACTTGCTTTGCTTAGCTTAAAGCTTCTATATTCATCCACTCTCTTTCTTTTTTTTTTTCTCAAGAGAGACCTTTTCTATAGGGCACATGCACTTGCCAGAAAGAGAAAGACAGAGAGACAGAAAAGGAGAAATCACCACCCAGGGAAATGGCCACACTGCAATCTCTTCTTCGCCATTCTCTTCTTATGATCTTGGGCACGCACCCATACACATCCACTAAGAGTTTAAGCCACTGGGTCCAAGACTCAATCCACAGAAGAAGTCCAGCAATGTAACTAGTACACCATCTGCTGGTCCTATATTCATCCACTTTCTATCAAATGCCAGGGTCTCATTTTTTGTATGGCTTAGTATTCCAAAGTGTATACATGCCATTGTCCTTTCTTTCGATAGCAACAATATCTGACCACTGCTTTTGAGAAATACAAACTTCCAGTCATTGTCATTTTTCTTCAAGTTAGAGTTCTACACATTTCTTCACATCTAGGTACCATCTTGGACCTCTGGGTGGCACTGGTCTTCACTAAGGATGAGCATTCCGCACTCACCGTCATAGTCTTGATGACCTCCCTGCATGATGACTGCTGTCAGGGTGACAGGAGCCCACAGTTTGACTATAATCACCATCACATGAAAGGACTTCCACACCACCTCTATTCCAAAGGCACACCTGGTCTCTCCTCCCCTCACCTCACAAATTCTAGAATGTTGGCACCATCTGTGGGTCATCTCTTTCACACAGGAGGGAGCCAGGACCCACAGACATGACTTACTAGGCATCATCCAGCTGGTGCTAATGCCTGTCCTGAGTCTAGGACCTATGCTCCCCTGCTCCCAATGGTTTCATTATACTTCCCACCACTGTTTGTGTAGTTGCTGGATACCTTTAGCTCAGCACACTGCCGGACCAAGGCCCTAACAGCCACTTGGTCTCTGATACAGCATCAGCTCAGATACTCTGCTGGCATCTCACGTCAGCTTTTAGAATCCTCCTTGAATCATTTTAGCCGTGGTAAAAGAATAGAATCAGACTAGCTTAGAATACAGCTATGCTCCACTTCATTGGTCAGAGAAGGAGGTCACAGGGCTGGGCTGACCACAAAGACTTAACATGGTGGTTTTGTGTGGATAATGATGGTCCGTAATCCCCGCTATCAAGAGTCCATACTGAAAACGACGGTGTCTTGACATGTTCTGTGCTTTCTACATTAAAATCATGTCATTATGGTGCTTCTCACAGTGAGCTAAAGCCACAGGCACAATTCCAGCCTGGCCCAGGGTAACTCTGGAATGATACCAAAGTGCTTTAGGCCAGGACCCTACAAAGGGGAACAATTTTCTGAGAGAAATTAGTGAAGTCACACTTCTTCCATGGTGCATATGTTCAGAATCGCATAATGCTATCTCAGTGTTAGTGTTCAATACTTTCAGAGAAAACTATAACCACTTAAATGCATTCTTTCCCTTTTTACTTGGAACTGTTTCTTCCACCATCGAACACTTTCCTAGTGTTCCTCATTGCAGCTGAGTTTAGGTTACTGTCATGCTGCATGTTTCATAAGTTTCTCTAGGAACGTACGAGATCACATTGGAGCATTTTGCTGACAATTCTTCTCCTCTTCTTTGGTAAGAGAATCGAGATACACCTGTAGCTTCTTCCCAGCTGTAGATTTTATATTTTGGATCCTTTTCCATTTATCATTGATAAACACGTTGTAATCATTTTTTAGCCCCTTCTAGTCCTGATGAAAGTATCTTTTATGTCAATCTATTGTTTCATCCAGCTATTTCCTGGGTCAACTAATAGTAACTGATAAGTAGAATAGTTGTTTAAGTCTTGTATCTATTCTTGTTATATCAGGTATTTATCAAAAATCTAGACATATCCCAAACTTGGGACCCTACAGATTCATGGTTTCTATGTTGTCCTACCATTTTTAATGATTGTGTCTCCCTTCTGCTGCTCTCAGAAAATGGATGGAACACGCTGTAAAGATGAAATGTGCACTGTATTCAAAAAAGCCAGTGCATGTTGCCCTAGCTTGGTTCCATCGGTCAGTGTATGTTCTAGAACCCAAACCTAATACCTGCTGACTACCTCTTTCGTTTCTTCTTAGATTTCAATTAATTTTTTAAAAATCTCATTCTTGGATAATTTCATTTTTAGAAAAGATTTCAGTGTAAGACTTTTCTCATTCAATGCTCTGTCATTTCACAGTACAGGTCTGTGTTCATTTCTAACAGCTCTTATATACAAATTTTTAGAAATGTAACAGAAAATGATTTTTGCACATATGGCGCAAGACTTGCTGGTGTTGCTTAATGTGGTGACACTTGCCAAAACTGCTTGGCAAAACATGTCAAATAGAATGCTTGAGTCAGAACTCTAATGTAAATGTGTCTAAACAGCCGTATGTATCATTATGATGTATTTTTGTAAACACAGTGATGGCTTCTTTCAGTCTTGTAAGTACTGGATAAAAATAACCCCTTCACTTGGAATAATATAGGAAAATGTCACCCAGCTGATAGGCCTCTGCAAACATACTTGCATTGTTAGCAGGTGGCATTGGTTCGTTGATTTGTGCTGTGTTTCTGAAAGAGAGTGAAGAATTGACCAGACAACATACCGTGCAAAATAATCCATTAATACTTGCCTTCGAAATGTAAAATTCAACACTTTAACTGATACATTTACACATTGAAGATTACTCTTTTTT